GTTTCTGCCTGCAACTAACCCTAACCCTAGGGGGAACCCTAACCCTAACCCTAACCCTAACCCTAACCCTAACCCTAACCCTAACCCTAACCCTGGGCCTAACCCTAACCCTAACCCTAACCCTAACCCTAACCCTAACCCTAACCCTAACCCTAACCCTAACCCTAACCCTAACCCTAACCCTAACCCTAACCCTAACCCTAACCCTAACCCTAACCCTAACCCTAACCCTAACCCTAACCCTAACCCTAACCCTAACCCTAACCCTAACCCTAACCCTAACCCTAACCCTAACCCTAACCCTAACCCTAACCCTAACCCTAACCCTAACCCTAACCCTAACCCTAACCCTAACCCTAACCCTAACCCTATCCCTAACCCTATCCCTAACCCTATCCCTATCCCTAACCCTAGCTGGGTAGCTCGAGAGCCCTATCCCTAACCCTAGCTGGGTAGCTCGAGGGCCCTATCCCTAACCCTAGCTGGGTAGCTCGAGAGCCCTATCCCTAACCCTAGCTGGGTAGCGCGAGAGCCCGATCCCTAACCCTAGCTGGGTAGCTCGAGAGCCCCATCCCTAACCCTAGCTGGGTAGCTCGAGAGCCCTATCCCTAACCCTAGCTGGGTAGCGCGAGAGCCCTATCCCTAACCCTAGCTGGGTAGCTCGAGAGCCCTATCCCTAACCCTAGCTGGGTAGCGCGAGAGCCCTATCCCTAACCCTAGCTGGGTAGCGCGAGAGCCCTGGCTCACCCTCCATGCCGTGAACAGGCGCTTTATCCACCCTATATTCTTCTCTCGTTCCTCTGCCCGTGCCTTGGTCTTGTCGTTGTTTCGCACCCATGTCTGTATGGCAATCGAGGCTGCCTTCCCCACTACCTGTAGTTCACCCGTACCCGGTGTCGTGTGAGAGAGGGTTGGAAAATTCTTCTTGGCCGGCTTCCCACCCAATGTCAGTACCGGCCGCCTCGCCCAGCGCCGCCTCGCCCAGCGCCGCCTCGCCCAGCGCTCCGCTGCGCGTCTTCGTGCGCATCCGTCCGCCGCTCCCGCGCGAGCCGCCGCTGCGCGAGCCGGCGCTGCTGGTCAGCGCCTCTGCCGACGGCCGTCCCGCCGTCTCAGTCATCCGCCCGAGCCGCAGCGTGGCTGACCCGGCGGCGGCCGCCGAGCCGACGGCGGACGTCTTCTCCTTCGACGGCGTTTTTGGCGAGGCGGCGGCGCAGCGCGACGTCTACGAAGCCGCCGCGGCGCCCCAAGTCGCCGCCTGCCTGCACGGCTTCAACTCGACGGTGTTCTGCTACGGCCCGTCCGGCTCCGGCAAGTCGCACACGTGCTACGGGCCGGCGCACGAGCTGCCGCCGGCTGGCCGGCGCGCGACCGCCGCGTGGGCGACCAGCGACGCGGCGGGCCTGATCCCTCGCGCGGCGCAGCAGCTGTTTGAATCGATCGCGTCGGGCGGGCGCGGCCGGTTCGTGGTGCGCGTGTCGTTTCTGCAGCTGTACCGCGAGTCCATCTACGACCTGCTCTCGCCGTCGGGCAGGCCGCTCGCCCTGCGCGAGGACCCGCGCGCCGGCGTCTTTGTCGAGGGCATCACCGAGGTTGCCGTCCGATCTCCGTCCGAGGTGTGGGCGCTGGCGGCGAGAGGGCAGCGGCACCGCGCGACGGCGGCGACCGCGATCAACGACGTGTCGAGCCGCTCACACGCGATCTTCACGGTGGTGGTGGAGCAGGCGCAGGCCTTGCCCTCGCTGCAGGGGCCGGGCAGGCGCAGCGGCGAGGCTGGAGGAGGCGGAGGCGGAGGCGGTGGTGGAGGTGGTGGCGGAGGCGGTGGTGGAGGCGGCAGCAGCGGAGGAGGAGCCGGAGGCGGCGGCGGCAACGGCGGCGGAGGAGGCGGCGGCGGCGGCGCCGGCCCTTCAGCGCTGAAGGTGTCGCGGCTGCACTTGGTCGATTTGGCGGGCTCGGGGCTACGAACGGAAGGGGGGAGAGAGGGCCATCGTTCGAGAATGGGGTGTTAGGTGGATTTGGCGGGCTCGGAGCGGGCCGCGCTGCTGGGCGAGCGCGGCGCGCGGCTCGAGGAGTCGAAGAAGATCAACCTCTCCCTCTCCGCCCTCGCCAAGGTGGCCTCGGCCAGAGGCCTCGGCCAGACCTCGGCCAGACCTCGGCCAGACCTCGGCCAGACCTCGGCCAGACCTCGGCCAGACCTCGGCCAGACCTCGGCCAGACCTCGGCCAGACCTCGGCCAGACCTCGGCCAGACCTCGGCCAGACCTCGGCCAGACCTCGGCCAGACCTCGGCCAGACCTCGGCCAGACCTCGGCCAGACCTCGGCCAGACCTCGGCCAGACCTCGGCCAGACCTCGGCCAGACCTCGGCCAGACCTCGGCCAGACCTCGGCCAGACCTCCCTCTCCGCCCTCGCCAAGGTGATGGCGACGCTGAGCGAGCCGCGGGGAGGCGGCCACCCCCCACACGTTCCGTACCGCGACTCGAAGCTGACGCGGCTGCTGCAGGACTCGCTCGGGGGCAATTGCCGCACGTCGATGGTCGCGTGCGTCTCGCCGCAGCCGACGGCGCTCGACGACTCCCTCTCCACGCTCCTCTTCACGTCGCGCGCCCGCGCCATCCGGAACCACGCCAAGGTCAACCTCCGCGCCTCGGGCGACGCGGTCGCCTCCTCCCTCCTCGCGCAGTACGAGGCGCGGCTGACGCAGCTGCGGGCGCAGCTGGCGGCGACCGAGGCCGCCAAGGCGCTCGCCCCGCCGCCGCCGCCCGAGGCGTCCTCGCTGCCGCCGAGCTCCGCGTCGGTGTCTCGGCTGGAGAGCGAGAGGTCGGCGGCCGAGGCGGCGCTCGCGCAGTGCGTGCGCGAGTACGCAAAGGAGCGCGCCCAAAAGGCGAAGCTGCAGCAGCAGATCAGCGGCTTGCAGGCGCGGCTGCTGCAGGCGCAGATCCACGAGGTGCAGTCCAAGGTCCTCATCGGCGGGCGGCGGATCGAGGTGTGAACAGCGGCTCTTCACACCTCCAGCTGTGAGCAGGTCCTCATCGGCGGGCGGCGGATCGAGGACGGCTCGCCAGCCCTCGACGAGGACGAGCCGCCCGACGCGGCCGCCGCGGCGGCGGCCGAGGCGGCGGAGGCGCGGGAGGCGCTGGCGGTCGAGCGGCGGCGGGTGGAGGTGCTGCAGCAGGAGCTGTGCGCTGCTCGCGGCTCCGAGTCCGACGAGAACGACGACCCGCACACAGCTCGCAGGGTGGCCGACAAGGAGGCGGCAGACAGGGCGGCATCCCTCGCGGAAGAGCGCGATGCGGCGGCGGCGGACGCGGCGGCCGCGCGCGCGGAGGCCGCGGCGGCGGCGGCGGAGCGGGACGCGGCCTTGCGCGCCGCGGCCGAGGCGACGGCCGCGGCGCGCGCCGCCCATCGTACTGCGGCGGAGCAGCGGTCGGCGGCAGAGGAGGCGCTGAGCGGCGCGGCGAGGGAGGCGGAGCGGACTGCTCGCCGTGCTGCCGCCGCGGCAGCGGAGGTCGGGGCGGCGCGCTCCGAGGCGAGCGACGGCCGGGCGGCGGCGGCGGCGCTGCGCTCCGCGCTCTCTGACTCGGAGGCGCGGGCGGCGGAGGCGGAGAGGCGCGCGGGCGAGGCGGCGGCGGCGGCGACGGCACACGCCGAGGGGCTGGAGGCGGCGTGAGCCGAGAGAGCACCGCTTCTGGCAGCTCTCCTTCCTACCGGGAGACCTCTCTTTTAGGCCCTCGCCGCACGCTGCGAGGCGTCCGAGCTCGCGCTGTCGGCGGACACCTCCGAGACACTTCCTACCCACTTCCGAGACACTTCAGGCGTCCGAGCTCGCGCTGTCGGCGGAGCGAGCCGAGCGGGCGCGCGAGAGGCGGGCGGCGGACGAGTCTGCGCGCGCCGCCGAGAGCACTCTCGCCGCGGCAGAGCTGCGGAGGGGGTGCGTGCTGCGGCCGAGATGGCCCGAGATCACCCGAGATTGCGCGAGATAGGCCGAGCTGGAGATGGACGCGTGCAGGGGCCGGGCGTCGGCCGCCGAGGCTGCCGCGGCGGCCGCAGCCAGCGCGGGCGCGGCGGCGGCGGCGGACCGCGAGCGCGCTTGCGCGGCGGCGGAGGCGGCGGAGGCGGCGGCGGCGGCGGCGCGGGAGGAGGCGGCGGTGGCGCGGGAGGAGGCGGCGGCGGCGAGGGAGGAGGCTGCGGCGGCAAGGGAAGGGGAGGCGCGGCGAGCGGCGGCGGCGGCCGAGGCGAGGCGCGAGGCGGCGGCGGGCGCGAAGGCGTTGGCCGAGGCGGCGGCGGCGGCGGCGGAGGCCGAGGGGCGGGCGAGGGTGGCGGAGGATTCCGCGGCCGAGGCGGCGGCCGAGGCGGGCGCCGTTTGCGAGAGCGCGGCGCGGGAGGCGGCGGCGGCGCGGGAGGCGGCGGCGGCGGCGGCGGCCGAGGCGCGGGCGCGGGTGGGTCGCGAGGCCGCGGCCGCGGCGGAGGAGGCGGCGGCGCTGCGCCGCCGCTTGGCAGAGGTTGAGGCGCGCGCCGCCGACACCTCACTGACGCCCTCCGAGGCGTCGGACGCGTCCGCGGCACCCCACTGACGCGTCCATGACATGTCCTCAGGCGCGCCTCGCCGCCGGCGAGGCGTCTGCTGCCGCGGCGGCGGCCTCGGCGGCGCAGTCGCTCGCCGGAGCGCGCGCCGAGGTGGCGAGGGCCGAGTCGCGCGGCGAGGAGGCGTGCGCCCGCGCAGAGCTCGCTGCTGCGTCGGCAATCAGCGCCGCGGACGAGGCTGCGGCCGCGGCGGCGGCGCGCGTGCTGGCGGCGGAGGGGGCGGCCGACGGCGCTGCTCGCAAGGCTGGCTTGGCGGCGGAGGGGGCGGGCTCGTTAGCCCCCGACTCGCGGAGTCATCCTCGCCACTCCTCGCTACTAGGCCGCTCGGCTCGAGGAGGCCGTCTCTGGCGCGGAAGAGCGGTGCCGCTCGCTGCAGGCGCTGCTGCAGGAGGCGAGGGCCGAGGCGGCGGCGCGGCGCGACGCGGTCGCGGCGGCCGAGTCAAAGTGCAGGGAGGGGCAGGAGGCCGCCGCCGCCGCCTGCGCGGATGTGCGCTCGCTCGAGACGAGGCTGCGCGGCGGGGCGGGGGAGGGGGAGGTGTGTCGACGACCACGACATGTCCGAGACATGTCCCATAGGCTGCGCGGCGCGGTGGAGGAGACGGAGGCGGCGGCCGCGGCCGCCGCCGCCAGCTTGGCCGAGCGGGAGGCGGCGCGCCACGCCGCCGCCGCCTCCGAAGAGCGAGCGAGGGCCGCCGAGAGGCGGGCCGACGCGGCGGAGGCGGCGGCGGCGCGGGCGGTTCGCAGGGCGGAGGCGGCGAGCGCCGAAGGGGCGCGTGCGTTTCAAGAGGTGGGGAGCGAGCAGCGCGGGGGGGTCGGACATGTGCGCGGCACGTTCTCACTTGCTCGGCGCGCCCCTCAGGTGGAGGCGGAGTTCGAGGCGCTCGCGAGCACCTCCGAGGCGCGCCGCGCTGAGTCTCGCCAACCTAGAGACCCACTCTCGTCGACTGACACGACGTGTATGATGAGGCGAGAGTGCAAGGAGATGCTAGTCGCTGCAGCCGGATCCCGACTTCCTTCGCCAGGCGCGCGTGCGCCAGTCCGCAGAGCTCGCCGCCGCCGCAGACGCCGCGCGCGCCGCTGCGCAGGCGGAGGCGGCGCAGGCGGCGGGGAGGGTGGACGCGATGGCGGCGGCGGCGGCCGCGGCGGCGGCAGAGCGTGACGAGTCGCGCGCTGGCGCCTCGGCCGCCGCGGAGCGGGCGGAGGCGGCGGAGGCGCGCGCTGGCGCCGCAGAGGCTGCTCTGGCGGAGGCGCGGGCGGAGGCTGCCCGGGGGTTCGCGGCGTCGGGCGAGGCGGTGAGGGCCGCTCAGGCGGAGGCGGAGGAGGCTGCGGCGGAGGCGACCGCCGCGAGGCGCTCGTGCGCCGAGGCGCTGGCTGCGGCGGCGGCGGCGCACGAGCGGGGACTGGCCGACGCAGCGGCGAGGCACCAGGCGGCACACGAGGCGGCGCTGGCGGAGGCGCTGGCCGGCGCGGACGGCGCGCGCTCGGGAGGCGGCGGGCGACGCGGCGGGCGAGAGACGCGTCGGTGACGCGTGCACGGCGGGATAGGCGTGGCGCGAGAGGCGGCGAGGGACGCTGCGCGCCAAGCCGCGGCCGCGCGCCGAGAGGCGGCGGAGGCGGAGGCGGCGCGAGCGGAGGTGGCGGCGGCGCGCGCCTCGGAGGCGGCGGCGCGCGAGGCCACCCCCGCATCTCTCACGGCGGAGCTGTCCCAGGACATGTCCACGACATGTCCTCGGACATGTCCACGACATGTCCTCGGACATGTCCACGACATGTCCTCGGACATGTCCACGACATGTCCTCGGACATGTCCACGGCATGTCCTCGGACATGTCCACGACATGTCCTCGGCCCGCGTTGCCGCAGGCGGCGGCGGCTTTCGCGGCGGAGCTGGCGGAGGAGCGGGTGGCGCTGCGCCTCGCGGCGGGCGGCTGGCCGGAGGCGGACGAGGCGGCGGCGGCGGCGGAGGCGGCGGCGGCGGCGGCGGCGGAGGCGACGCGGCAGCTCGGTGCGAAGCCCCCCCCCCCCCTTCCCCCCCCTCCCCCACCCTCCCACCGTAGCCGGCCTCTCTATTATGCGCGACGCATTCGTCGACGTACTCGAGTGCAGCAACAGACACCGACGCATCTCCAGGTGCCGTCGAGGGGCAGCGTGACGAGGCGCTGGCGGCCGAGGCTTCGGCCGGGCAGCGGAAGGGCCTCTTCCGAGACCGTCCCGAGACGGCTCCTGGAAGCCTCTCGCAGGCGTCGGCGGAGCAGCGGCGAGCGGCGGCAGAGGCGGCCGCCGCGCAGGCGGAGCAGCGAGCCCGCGCCGCCGCCGCGGACGGCGCGGAGGCGACTGCGCGCGCCGAGGCGGCCGAGGCGGCGGCGGCGAGCGCGCGCGAGCGCGCGGGGAGCGAGGTGGAGGAGACGAGGGCGGCGGCGGCGGCGGCGGCGGCGGTTGGCTACCGCCAGATGCGGCGAGCGGCTGCCTTCCGAGACGTTTCCTGGACCTTTCTTGGGGCCGATGCCGGTAGGATGCCCTTCGGCTGGCTTCTGCAGAGGCGGCGTCGCGGGTGGCGAAGGTGGAGGAGCGGGCCGCGGCTGCGGCGAGCGAGGCGGCGGCCGAGGGAGCCTTCCGATGAGGTGTGTGAAGAGCGCCTCTCGACAGCGTCTGGCTGTGAGCAGGCGGCGGCCGAGGCGGCCTCGCTGCGCGCGTCGCTCGCGGCGGAGCGGGCGGCGGCGGAAGCGCTCGGCGCCAGTCTGGCCGAGGAGGAGAGGGGAGTCGGTGCCGGGCGGCGTCTCGTCACGGCGGCCCCTCTGCGAGCAGGAGTCGCCCTCGCCGAGGAGGAAGGGTTGCGGCGCGGCGCGGAGGGGGAGGCGGCCGCGGCGGGGCGCGCGCTGCAGGTTGCGGAGCCGTCCTCTCATTCCTTACCGATTCGCGTCCCTCATTCATCACGAGGTGATTCTCTGTTGTCGCAGGCGGAACGGTCGCAGCGAGAGGAGGCGGACGCGCTGGCGGCGAGGTCCGAGGTGCGCCGGTTCGCGCACCGCCAGGCCGATCTCGGCCGATCTCGACCCCATCTCTGGCTCATCTCGAACAGGTGCGCCGGATCGAGGCGCACCGCGAGGCGTCCGAGGCGCGTGGGGGGGTGGGGTGGGCT